ACCACAACATTAGCACCGGCTCTGGAGAACTGTACGGCAGTGGCGGCACCGATACCTGAACTCGAGCCTGTGATCAGCACTACTTTACCGCTGAAGTTGTATTGGAGAGACATGTTGAGGAAGTTTTAACAAATTAAATTCAATAACTATTGATCTTATATAAAATGTTTAAAACTATTTGTTTGATAGCCAATTTCCAATTAACATTATTGAGTTAAGGGTTGTGCTTATATACCAACTTAATATTTGTGTACTTGCCAAGGTTAGCATTTATTTAAACTATCCATTATTATACAGTATATTATCATACAATAATAAAGTAAGAGGCATATAAATTATGCTATTCAATTATAGTGCAAAGTTAGTGCACTAACAATTAGTGCATTAAATCCAGTATATCCGAACTTGGTAAGGTCATACCATGATGCTATTCAATTAAGTTGTAATTAACAATAATATTATTTATATTTATTACTATTATTTATATGTATTATAGTAAACAAAAAACATTAAAAATTTATCAAATATAAAATGTAAAAGTTCTGTATTACATGAATATTGTTTAATATATTTAGATTGTATCTTAATTTTATTATAAGTTAAATTTTAAATTATAATATAAAAATGACATCTTCAGAATCTATTTATTTTATTAATTATTAAGGTATTTAAAAAGTGTTATTTAAAAATTAACAATAAAAGTTTAATTTTAGTATAGTAAGGTTAATAAATTAATTTATTTAATTATTTTTGTAAAATATTAGTTACATTACAAATCATTTGAAAATATATTTTTAGTCAAATACGGCTAATTAAATTAAATCTTTCACACAAACAGATTTATTAATTTCAACAGGATACATTAGAAATTACTCAACAATCCAAAATGTTGAGTGAAATGTAGATAAACATGGTTTACATGAAATCCTTCAGAGCATCGGAATTGATGCTATTGGCTGCAAGAACACCCCCGTCCACAATCAAATTAGTGCCGGTTACAAAAGCAGCATGGTCACTGGCCAGGTAGAGAATGGAATCACCCACATCATTGGATTCCCCTACGCGACCTACCATGGTCAACTTCCCGTAGGCGTCAAAAATCTTATCGGCCATCTCCTTAGGTGTACTCATTGCCTCCATAAATTCAGTACGAATTGGACCAGGGCTATTATATATATTTACTTTTTTAATACATATTTATAACAAACTAATTAATTTTTTCTATAATAAGAAAATATGAATTACTTGATGACATTAACGCGGATACGTTTGGGTCCCAACTCCGCGGCCATACATTTGGTGAACATATCCATCGCAGCCTTTGCCACACTGTATGGCGAAAAGCCTGTAAACTTTATATCAATACAATTATAATTATTAATAAAATATTATATATAACTATTTATCACTACTTACGGCTCGCATGGCAGCGATACTCGAGATGTTGATAACATTTCCCTTTGTTTTCTCCAAATGCTCGACACATATATGCGTTAAATAGACCACAGAATTGAGATTTATTTGCATTACTTTCAGGTAATTGTCGTAAAAATTCTTATCACTGATGTTAGCGGCAATACCGGCGCCGGCGTTATTCACCAAAACATCGAGTTTCCCGAAGTGTTTGACAGTTGTGTCCACAAGTCGTCGCAAGTCTTCCGGTTTAGTCACATCCGCCACCACTTCCAGTGCTTTCGACTGTTTCGGTGATACTTTGAGACACTCTTTGGCCACTTCTGACACTTTATCGGCTCGTCTACCGGTGACCACAACATTAGCACCGGCTCTGGAGAACTGTACGGCAGTGGCGGC